GCTAGCCGCGCTGGCTAGTTAGCTAGATCCCATGGCTAGCTAGCTAGCTAGCTAGCTAGCTAGCCAGGAGTGCTCACCTTGGGCGGAGGAGAGCCAGAGGGCCCCCCACTTATTTCCTGAAGTCTGGGGCTTCTTCTTTTGCTTGAGGTGTCTGTACACCCCAAACGACGCAGCCCACGGCCGCGGCCGCGGGGCCGCCCCCGGGCCCCACGTGTGGCCCGCGGCATAAACCCTAAACCCTAAACCCTAAACCCTGAACCCTCGGCCGTGAGAACTTAAATTTAAAGTGTTAGGGGCACCCTAGTCCTTGGGGACCTCCCTGGAGTGTACAGACAGCCAGGAGCTGCAAAACGAACAAGAGCCCCGAGCCCAATTCAAATTCCCACTTTTGCTGCTGCGCTGCTGCTGCTGCTGCTGCAGCTGCTGCTGCTGCTGCTGCTTGGGGGTTTATAGAAAAAAACGGAAAAAAAGAAAAAGACAACTTGGGGCTTTTGTTTGCAAAGTCAAGAGAACAACAATTCGAGGGTGAGACGTGGCGGCTGGCGGCTGGGGCTCAGCAGGCGGCTGCAGACCTCGTTTTGCGGTGAAAAAGAAAATAAATTAATTCAAATTAATTAATTTAAATAATTTAATCTAATTGACGAACCTTTTCTCCATTTACGCGCTGCGCAAGCCCAAAATGCCGGAGCCTCGCTGGGGCTGGTGGTGATGGGGTGGGGGTGGGGCCCCAAGGGGAGCCCCTAGGGGGGCCCCCAGGGAAGCGGGGGGCTGCTCTTGGGCTCCATTTTGCAGTTTAATTCTATAAAATGGAATTAATTTTATAAAATTTAATTGCATTTAATGAATTAAACTCAGTTAATTAATTTGTTCGGAGTTAGGTGCTGCGGGCACCGCAGCAACGGGGAGTCTAGGGTTTAGGGTTTGCTGCAGCAGCAAACTTAGGGTTTGCTGCAGCAGCAAACACAGAAAGGCTTAAAAGCAGCAAAAGTCAACTAACTGCTGCTGCTGCCCTGCAGCAAATGTGGCAAAGACAAAATTGCTGCGGCAAAACAACCAGGGACCCCTCCGCAGCCAACTTGCTGCAGCAGCACAACCCCAGCATTCCCCCCGGGCCCCCCAGGCAGCTGCACGTAAATAGGGAATACATGAAGCTAGCTAGCTAGCTGGCTAGCTAGCTAGCTAGCTATCTAGCTAGTTAGTTAGACACAAATAATGCTAAACAGTGCTAAATACACTCACTTACGTACACACCAGCAACGGCAGCAGAAGCAGGGTAAAAAACCAAATCAAACAAACACAACAATAGTAATAATAAACAGTAACAACAATAATTAATAATAATAGTAACAATAATAGTAACAATAATGCGGGCTTGCGGCTCCAACTACTTCACCGGTCTGCTAATACCCGGGCTCTGTTCCAGGCAGCCTAAACCCTAAACCCTAAACCCTAAACCCTTTCCCCTGAAGGGGAAAGTCGGTTAAAGTTCGCGGGGGCTGCAGCGCCGCCTCCAGCTGAATTTTGAATCAGCTGTCCAAAAGGCGGCGCCCGACACAAACAGCCCCTCAAAGCAGCTAGCTAGCTAGCCAGGCAGCTAGCCAGCCAGGCAGCTAGCCAGCCAGCTAGCCAGCTAGCTAGCCAGCTGCCAGCGAGCCCCCAGCCCGGGACCTGCCCCTGCCCTCACCCCCCGCTAGCCACCCCCCCCACCACCCAGCCACCCAGCCAGCCAGCCAGCCAGCCAGCCGGCCAGCCAGCTAGCCAGCCAGCTAGCCAGCTAGCCAGCAGCTAGCCAGCCGCTCACATGAGGAGCCTCTGGAACTCGTCGTAGAAGACGAGGACGAGGGCGGCGCCGGCGCCGCGGAGGACGTTGGCCCAGGCGCCCTTGAAGAAGCCGCGGGGCCCTTCCTGGGCGAGAATTTTGGCCCAGCAGTCGAAGGTGGAGCTGTACTGAATGTCCTCAGTGGCCCTGCGGCCAGCCATCATCATCATGCGCCTGCGCACAGTGTCGAAGGGGTAAGAGACGACTCCTGCGGCGGCGGTGACGCTCTGGGCCACGGCCCACTTCAGGAACAAGTTGCTTTTGGTTTTGTCGGAAAAAAGAACTGCTTTTGCGGTGTCGAAGAGCCCGAAGTACGCGCCGCGGTACACCACGATGCCCTGTACAGACACCCCGAAGCCCTGGTACAGCGACAAAAAGCCCGTCCGCGAATACACTTTCTGCAAACAGTCCAGCAGACCCGAAAACTCCCTGGCGGCCCCCTTTCCCACGTCGGAGGCCAGCCTCGTGCGCGCAAAGTCCAGCGGGTAGACCACGGTGAGCGAGGCCGCGCCCGCGAGCCCCCCCGAGGCCACGTTCGCCAGGAAGAACTTCGCGAACTCCTTCTTCTGGTCGTACTTGGGGAAAATGCGTTTGAAAGTGTCCTTGAAGGTGAAGTTGAACGCCTGCGTCGGGAAGTAGCGGATCACGTTCGCCAGGTTCCCCCGCCACAGCGACAGCGCGCCCTGCTCCCGCGAAACCCGCACGAAACAGTTCCCTATGCCCGTATAGCGCGGCACCCGGCCTTCTTTTATGTCTGGAATTGAATCTTGAGTTTGAATTAGCATTTTCACCCGCTCAATCGGCGCCACGATCGTCTTCGACACCCCCGCAGACACCCCGCCCGCCATGAAGTTCTTCGCCGCGTCCAGCAGCGCGTTCTCCCCGCCCTTCGACTCCTTCGCCGCCATTTTCTCCCCCAATTCCCAATTTATCAAGTGCTCTCTACTCCTCCAAGAAAATCTGCAAATGCCCGCCAGACACTCCCCTTCGAAGCGACGCAGCCTGTGGGGTTCGCCGCACGCGGCTTCGCAGCCACGCCAAACCCGCAGCGCGCCCGCGCTTTCTTTCTCGCGTTTTTCTCTTCTGCAAAATGCAATAAACTGCAAATTCAGCAGTTGCAGCGGCAGAAAAGACCGACAGACCGACGCCGCAGCAGCAGCAGCAGCAGCAGCAGCAGTGGCAGCGGTTGCTGCGGCGCTGCGGCAGCCGCTGCTGCCGCTCCTGCTCTGCTGCTGCTGCTGCTCCTGCGGCCGCGGCTAGCGTGACCCTGGGCAGCTTCCAAGTGTGTGAGTGTGTTTTACTTTTTCGCACTATTTCTTTCCTTTTGCTTCTTGATTTGAAGTCCCGAAACCCCAATTTGCTGCTGCTGCTGCTGCCGCTGCCCCCGCCCCCGTCTCAGCAACTCCGCGCTATGCTTCTGACTCGCGCGACAGCAGCAGCAGCGCCTCGGGTGTTTTCTCGTTTGCTGCCGCGCACCTGCTGGGCAGCTTCCCGCGCTCCTGCTGCTGCTGCTGCTGCTACCGCGCCTGCTGCTGCTGCTGCTGCTGCTGCAGTGACCCGCCAGCAGCGAACCATGTGGCTCTTCTCCGCCTGGCGCAGCGCAGCAGTGCCCCCCGAGCTGCTTGCTGCTGATCTTTGGAGCTTAGCAGCAAAAGATCCCGAAGGAAAAGAAGTTCCTTTAAAAGACTTCAAAGGAAAAGTGCTGCTGATTACAAACACTGCAACAAAGTGCGGCTTCACGCAGCAGCACCTCAAGCAGTTCCACGACCTCAAGGAAAAATACGGAGACCAGGGCTTCGAGGTCCCCCAAACCCTAAACCCTAAACCCTCACCAAGCGCCATCACACACAGCTGCACCCGAGGCAAACGAGGCACCAGCAGCAGCAGCAGCAGCAGCCGCAGCGGGGAGTCTGCTGCCTTGTCTTGACCTGCCGGCTGTGTGCTTCTGCTTGCTGCCGCTGCCGCTGCTGCTGCTGCTGCTGCTGCTGTGGGGTGTACGTACACCGCAGATCCTGGCCTTCCCCACGCTACAGTTCAAACAGCAAGAAGAAAAAGACCCTCAGAAGATGTGCGAAGTTTACAAAAGCTTTAATGCCAACTTCCCAATCTTCGCAATCACTGAAGTCAACGGGCCCAACGCAAACCCCATTTTCCAGTACTGCAAGTTCAACACGGACGAGGTGAGGGTTCAGGGTTTAGGGTTTGGGGTTTAGGGTTGGGGGTTTGGGGTTTGGGGGTTTTCGAGAGGGGTTTGGAATGAGCCGTGGGGCCGTTGGCGAGCTTTCCAGGTGCTCATGTCGGGGGTTGAGGGCTCTGGTCTCGAGGGTTTAGGGTTTAGGGTTTAGGGTTTTGGTTCATAGAGTCAGTCATATGGGTAGGCTGTAGGGTTTAGAAAGCACTTTTGCGTATATGCAAGTGTAGCCTTAAGCGTTCCGCGGGAGGCTCTAGGGTTTAGGGTTTAGGGTTTAGGGTTTAGGGCTTTTGTGATTTTGGTGTCTGAGTCTAGCTTTTGAGCGAGGTTGAGGGTTTAGGGTTTGGCGAGGGTTTGGGGTTTGCTGCTGCGCCGCAGCTGTACTCGAAGGGCCAGCTGCAGGCCATTGGGTGGAACTTTGGAAAGTTTCTTTTGGACAAAGAAGGAAAAGTTTTTAAATATTTTGGACCAAGACAATCTCCTTCGGAAATGGAAGAAGACATTTTGCTGCTGCTGCGGGGAGAGGCTCACGGCAAGCAGCGCAACAAGGACGGTTTGCTGCAGTAGTTGCTGCGCTGCAGCAGCAGCGGCGCGTGGTGCTGCAGCAGCGCGGGGTGCTGCAGCAGCTTAGTTCTGCTGCAGCAGCGCACTTCGTTTTCTCCATTCTTTAGATTCTTATTTAGTTCGAAGCTGCAGCTGCCAAAAGCCAAAGTACAGTTGCAGCCGAGCTGCAGCAAGGCTGCAGCAAGGCTGGCTTGCTGCAACAGCAGCAGCAGCAGCAGCAGCAGCGGCAGCAACAGGGGCCGCGCAGAAGTAGAAAGTGTGTAGGCTGCTGCGGTGAGCTGCTGCAGCAGAAGCAGCAGCAGCAGCAACAGATGGTATGTACAGAGTGGTTCACAGCTCAATGTGTCTCGCGAAGGCTGCGAAGGCCAAACCAGGTTACAGGGTTTAGGGTTTAGGGTTTAGGGTTTAGCATGTGTGGGGGCTGGGGGCCTGCAGCCGAAGCCTTCGGGGTGCTTCACAGCAGCAGCTCTCTGCTGCCTTTGTTTTATCTTGTTCAAACCCTTTCAAACCCTAATCCGAATCAAACCCTGATCGAAAGCAAACCCTAATCGAAATCAAACACCAGTGGGGATCAAACCCTAGTCGTAATCCCAAACTTGGAATTTGAGAGTTTTGGAAAGGGGAGAGGACGAAGTAGGAAGCTCAAAAATATCTAGAAAGACACAAATGTTTCAAATTCAAGACAAAGTTCTTTAGAAGAAATGACACTTTTCGGCTTGCTGCTGCTGCTGCTGGCAGCGCCAGCCCACCAGCAGCAACTGCGGTGTACAGACAGCTGCACACATGCTGCTGCAGCGGCTGCAGCGCTGCCACGGCAGCGCCACCGCTGCCCACACTGCAGCAGCAGCAGCGAAACAGCAGCAGCGGCAAAACAGCAGCAGCAGCAGCAGCATCAGGCGCTCATCCAAATTTCCTCTGCCGCAGCTGCCTGTACACTCAGAGAGGGCAGAGCGCCTGCTAAGAGTGCCAGGGTGTCTACAGAGTCCAGAGGAATTGATCCCCATTCACTTATTTCATTTATTTCTTCTTTTGTTTCTGAAGAAGGCAAACACTGGTGGTAAGGAGAGTCCTTGCGAACTGCCAGGTCTGTACGTACACCGCAGCACATGCAAGACTTCAGCGTACACCGCAGAGTCCGCAGTGTACTGACACCTTTAGGGGAAGTTATTTGACACTTTTGGATTTATTTGTATTTCTATTACTCTATAAATATATTTTAAAATGTAGTTGTGTTTATATATGGTGTTCACTGGTGTGCATGTTGTCTGTGCATGCATGCATGCGCATTATAACGGTAATATATATTATGGTGATAATATATATCATTATAATACGCGTGCATGTATATGCACATATAACATTGTGGCTACATAAATAATAAAGTGCGTAATATGTGCATGCAACTATGCATGCATTCAATACATGCAATTGTATGCATATGTGGACAGCACCAAGGTGCAAATGTCAATATACCACTGTGGCATGCAGAAGAGTCTAAACCCTAAACCCTAAACCCTAAACCCTGGGCACCAAACCCTAAGTCGAATGCAGGGAAAAGAGGAACAGAAAACAAACCCAAAATGCACACACAGACAGAACACTTGCGCCACCCCCACTAAAAATGCCCTCCACGCACCACAGGCACGCATGCATGCATGCATGCATGCACGCATGCATGCATGCATGCACACTATTAACGTTTTGTGTACTTAGCGCCCCCAGCCCGGCTTGAGCCCATTTTGCTGCTCACCCAAAATTCCCTGCGACTTCAAGAAGACAGCCACTTGCTTCCTGCGGTCTTGTTGACTGAGACACCTCAGAGCAGCAGCAGCAGCAGCACGAGCTTTGGGCAAAAGGGGGGCCCCCGAGGTACTTCCTGGGCACTTCCCGGGGGCGGGGGCCCCCCCGGGGGCCCCCGCAGGGGCCCCCGCAGGGGCCCCCACGCGGGGTCCCTGTGCTGCTGCTGCAGCACGAGATGCTGCTATTAAAGCTTCTAGACGTTCTGTTAATTCTTTTTTCTGCTGGCGAAGGAGGCTGTCGTTGTAGGAGAGGATCCACCTGGTGTACGTACAGCGCAGACTGCGGCACGGCCGGGTCTACATACACCGGGCTTTCACCTTTTCTTTTATTTGCAAAGTAGTCAGTGCAAATGAAAAAAGAAAAAAGTTCAAAACCGCTGCGTGAAAGCATGAAAAGAAGTTTTTTAAAAAGAATTAAAACGGAAGATGCAGCAATTAGGAGAGCAAGGAATGAAACGATGCAAACGCAGTTAAAACTGAATAAAGAGGCAAATTAAAAAGTCCAAAAGCTTGAATGAAATTAAATTTTAAAAAAACTAGAATGAAATTAAATTTTAATTGAAATTTGGGGTTTGCGCGCCTGTTTGCTATTTGCTCTGTGTACAGCTTGGCCTTGATGCACTGCTGCAGTGCCCAGTGGGCGGTGAGGCCCCCCCAGTCCACGAAATCGGCTCCAACCTTAAATCTGAATTGATTGCTGCTGCTGCTGCTGCTGCTGCTGCTGGGTTCGCCGCCGAGCCTGTGGGGCTTTGCATGCGCTGGCGAGGCCTTCTCGGCCTTGTGTTTTGCTGCCAAGAGGCCCCAGGCGGTGCCCAGCAGCTGCAGCACAAGTCCCGTTTCATTTTTTCTTTTGCTTCTTCCGAGGAAGAAGCCCTCGCCGCTCCAGCAGGCCACTGAGGGCGGCCTGTACAGACAGCTGGAGCCAAAACACAAAGACAGCAGCAGCAGCAAAGACGCAGTGTAGCGCGTGTAGCTGCTGTGCACTCGTAGCAGCAAGTCGCCGCCGGGAGCCAGCAGCAGCAGCCCCTGAAACGCAACACGCAGCGCATGCATGCATGCATGCATGCAGGCAAGCACGCAGCCATGTATGCATGTATGCATGCGTGCGTGCATGCATGCATGCAAGCACGCAAGCACGCATCCATGCGTGCATGCGTGCATGCATGCATGCATGTGCAAGCACGCAGACATGCAAATATGCCAGCATACAAGCGTGCATGCATTCATGCATGCATGCATGCATGCAAACATGCAAGCATGCACGCATGCATGCATGTGCCTTTATTTTTGTTTATATTGACCGTTCAAAAGCGTGGGGCCAGCAGCGGGGCAAACAAAATCATGGGCTGGACTGTAGAGAGCTCAAGAATGCAAAAAAACAAAAAAAAAATTCTTGAATTCCAAAGAAAACAAATGAGAAACAAAGAAATATCCGTGCCCCCGGAAGGCAAGCTTTGCAACAAAGGCAGAGGCAGCAGCAGCAGCAACCGCAGCAGCAGCAGCAGCAACCCCGGGGAAAAACACAAAATCAATTTCCCCAAAAGACCCCCATAAAAAACCGAAGCAATTGTTAAATAGCTCTGCATGCTTTGAATTGCATTAAAATGGCAAATTGGGTGAATGTTTTCGAATTTAAAAAGACCATTTTAAGAAGAAAAAAGGAAAAGACAAAAGAAGAGGAGCAGCAGCAGCAAACCTGAAAGATCTGGGCGAGCAGCAGCAGCCCCGCCTCGATCTCGGCCTGGGCGATTTCTTCGTGGACTTGAACAACAAGTCCTCTTTGTCTTCTTTTTTTCCCTCCTTTTTCGAAATTGTTTTTTTCTTCTTCTTCCATTTGTGCTGTTTCTTCGCGCCGCCAGTGCTGCACTCCGGTGATGTCCAATGACACCAAAGAGGCTCCATCGCCCGGCAGCTTCGACAACACCTTCTCTTGCACTTGCTGCACGCAGCCGCCAAACCCTAAACCCTAAACCCTAAACCCTAAACCCTAAACCGTAAATCCTGAAGTCTCGCCGGACAACGTTAACGCTATTACCCGACACCTGTGTTTTTTCATGCGAGTTGCTGCAGACGTTAATAAAAACGGAGGCCTGAATCCGAAGCCTAAACCCTAATTCTGAAACCTTAAACCCTAGTTGTGGCAGCTGACGCGTTTGATATAGTCTGCTGTTTCTCCTCTTGCGAATGCGGACAAAACATCTATTTCTTGGACTCCTAAGAGAGGCCCGGCCTTGGGAATTGCAGCTTCCAGCACTTCCCGGGTCACAGGCTGCTTCCTGTGCTCCTGTTGCTGCTGCTGCTGCTGCTGCTGCTGCAGCGGGAGGTTCAGGACGACGAAGCAGCTGCAGCCGTGCCGCCTCAGCATCAGCTGCAGCGGGAGAGCCAGGGGGGCCCCCCAGCTGCTGATCTCGACGCAAACAGGGTACTTCTTTCTCCAAATGGCTGGGAAGTCCTTCTCAGGGGGCCCCGCAGGCCCCCTTCTCGAAGACCCTGGAGAAAATACCACTGAGGGGCCCCCCGGAGTGGCCTCTAACTGCTTCAGTGCAAACAACAGGTCTATGCTGCTGCTGGGCGGCAGCTCTTGCCCCCCCAGTTTTTCACCCAGTGCAGAGGGCCGGCCCTCCAGCAGCAAAAAGTCCGCAATGGAGACTGCAGCGCAACAAATCAGACAGCTGCTGCTGCTGCTGGCACTCTTACTGCTGCTGCTGCTGCTGCTGGTAGCGTACTTGCTGCTGCTGCTGCTGCTGCTGCGGCTGATGCTGCAGCGGATCAAGATGCAACAGCCATCAACTAGGAACCCGCAGGGCTAGCAGCAGACAAAATAGCATGTAGTGAAACAAAAGAGACAAACAATGAGGCAGCAGCCAGCCCCTAATGACGAAGCAGCTGCAGTGCAGCAGCAGTGCATGCGGCCACAAAGAAAATGCATTATTAATGTCAGGTGGGGCAACTGATTGGCAATTAAATAAAACTGCACAAAAATAGTAAAAAGTAGAAACCAGGAATGGGAGAATGAGACGCGAATTGCTGAAGATGTGATGGCAAGTGCAGAAACTGAAAAAGTAAAAAGCTGAAAACATCTGGGAATGAGAAGAGCGCAGAAAGGAACACGAACAAGAAAGCAAAACAAAGCAAAACACCACAGCTCAGGAATTTAAAGGGTAATTTGGCAGAGAAAAGTCCGTATTTGGCTTTGAAAGAGCA